ATTGTTTGACCGCTTCTGGCTCGTTTCCGCCCTTCAAGTGGTTGTGCGAAAACAGCCCTTCGAGGAAGTCAGTCAAATTGTATACGCAGAACGTGGCCAAGCCAGCGCAAGTGCAGACATACTGGTGGCTACCAGTAGGCCTTTGCGTGTTTACTGGGCAATCATATCCTGTTGGATATATATAGGTACCAATGCCTCAAACAGGGTATCCTATTTGGTTCCGCGCAAACTCTTTTGGTTTCTCAGTTTGTATAAGTGCCTAGTGGCCTGACCACTGGACTGTAAATCCCCTTCGTATGCCAACCAAACCAAGCTTAAAAGAAGGCAACAACTCGTGACAACTTGCTTCTTTACCGTATGAAATTTACTGCGTTGCTGCAAGTTGAAAGCATCAGCCTAGCATACTCAAACCTTAAACGATCTCTCAGTCTGCACAGAAACTTTGGCACAGTGAAGTGGCACGAAGTTAACTGCGCCACTGAATAAATACAACCAAAATCCTTTATCTTTGAAAATGTCTAGTTCCTACTGGTTATTTTGTTTAAACTTCGACTGACCATAATGATGGGTAATTGAACACAGAACGACTTGGAATCGTCGACATCATCAATCATAGCACTACCTGTGTAGAAAGCTGTATCTAGCTGGAATATAGTGGTTTCAAGGTTTACAACTAAGGTTCTGAAAGAAGTCAGAGAGGAAGCGGACAAGCACAAACAGTCAAGTCACCAACGACTGCTCCAGTAATTGCTCCGGCAGTGTGAAAAGCACAAACATGGGATGCAGTGATAATTTGCACCATTCCGACAGAGCACCATATGGCTATGTAGACTCTGTTGTGCAGAAGGAGGGGATATTTCAACACCAAGTAGACTTATCCCAACCTTTCCTGAGCCACTGTCTGCCGGTCCATGATCAGTGCCTCTCTGAATGCGACATGAAAATACAACGCCCCCTGGCAAAACCTCGAAAAGACCAAGTAACTGTAGTTTTTGGTCCTGATTGCACTCCATAAATGCACTCCGCATGCAGACTTACATAAACTTTATCCTCATAAGCTCATTACAATTTTGTTATTCGCAGCTCGCTCCCTTTACAATTCCGATAAAATGGTCAAAAGACCGGTGAAACTTCACGTCCTTCAAACATACATGGTAGGTCTAACAGTGGAAAATATATAGTACTGATGTTGCGGCACCCTTCCGATGCGTAGCTGCCTAGCAATCCGAATGATCAGGGGGTGAGGTAATATCGGAATTCCCAATCCAAGACAGGAGTAATCGGGAAACCAGAGGTAGAACCTGACCACGAACATTCAAGTCGGTAGCGCCGCACCTTATGGGCTGAGCTCTCTCGCACCGTAACAGCGACTAAAATTTGAGCATCAGATATTCTTCTTTACATTAAGCCATATTGCGACAACAACACAGTATTCTCATCTAGCTTGAGTGACCAGATGAAGTCGTTTTCTGCACCTCTGTTAGCGTATTCACACCCCAACTGACGTAGAAACATGGACGGTGAAGCTGGAATCCCCTACGACCTCAAAGGTTTATGATTGCATATGTTCTTGCAAGTGCCACTGATCTAATGGTCTGGATGACATCCAACCCACACTGTCTTCAGTCGTCTCTTGTCTGATCTGTTTGCCTCTTCCAGACAACTAGGGGGAATCAATGATAGTGCCCATTTTCAAAAAATGAGACTCTTAGTGAGTGTTATAACCACAGGGAGATCAGCTTGATCCCGGTCGTAAGGAGGCTGTTGGCGTCACTTATGCTTCGTTGCATTATGGTGGCTCATAAAACACTGACTCAAGAGCAGCAAAAGGGACTCCGGCCCGGTAGGGGTTGCATTCACCACATTTCCACTCTCCGACGGGTGGTAAAACAATGTCATACGTACAAACGAGCCGCAACATTCTTGAATTTTTAAAACCCATTCATTTCGGATAACCAGGCTGTTCTCCTTGACAAGCTTATCCATCAAGGATTACTCCGGAAGTTTGTGAACATTACACGTTCTTTGTGTTCTCAGACTTTCGGGTTTATGAAAGTATATGAAAAGCTCTCCAAGGGCTTCCATCAGGGATGCCCACTCTCTCTATTCCTATTTAGTGCTATAATCGTTGAGATAATGAAACAAACGTTGCAAAATCTTCAAAACCCTAATGTTTAAATAGCCTGTGACGATTACCCTATCAGTCCGGAATATGCAGAAGATATCGTTCTCGTCTTCGAAGAGGAGGAGAAGGTGCAGGTGCTCTTGGATGAACTGACCAAAATCAATCCATCCTTTGATATGCACTTCTCACCAACAAAGTATAAGTTCATGCTCGTAAACATGCAGTCACTTAACAAGCTACTCACAATCCACGGAAAGGCACTGGAAGTTGTGAAGCATTTTACGTGCCTTGGAAGTTGTATTAGCTCCGACTGTAGTCTAACGGATGAGTTCAATGCACGAATTTGCAAGGCTCGGGTCGCGTGTGCTAGTTTGAGGAAACTATGGCAGCAAAGTGGTATATCCCTGAATCTCATGGGATGTGCGTGTCAGGCTACAGTGCGCGCTAATTTAATGCATGGCTGTCACACTTGGACTGTTCAAGCAGCGGAACTAAGATGCCTTTAGTTCTTCGACAGCCGTTGTCTTAGAACCATAGCCCATGTTGATTGGTGTCGGTGAATCCGTATCGAGGCAATTGAAAAATGAGTGTTTGGTTGTGTAACGGAAACTTCTTTTGAAGATTGTCTCCAGCCTATGCATCTGCGTTGGTTAAGCCCAATCACCGTTTGCCGAAAAGACTGCTGGTTTCCGTGCCCAATCCAGAGAGTGGCGGAAGCAGATAAGTGGCCCACCCGTTGACCTGGCAGACGTGTGTGAGCGAGATTATGAAATGTTTCGGAGCTTTCTGTGCCTTTCGTCTTCCAGAATGACTACCGCGTGATCCTCGTTGCGCCTGGTTGGAGACACTGCAAACTATGGCTGCTCATCGACGCCGATGGCATTCTCTTTGTGAGTTTCCATCCAGATTGCCTGGATGAATCTTTTGAAGTGTGGGCACCTCGAAATGTTCACGTCAGCATAGTCTCGGATGGGCATGGAGTGATAGTGTGGAATGAGAAGAAGCAGAAGTATGGTGCTGATGAACATTCCCTCGCCATAATCTCAGCCCTACATGCCATCGGTTGTGATATCGACTTTTTGGTTCACCAACCGATGATCATCTCTTATCGAGGGATCTGCTCTCCTCAATCCGCTAAGGCTGTTATTGGACTGGAACTTCCTAAGGTCGCAGTCAGTGACTTGTGTTTGCTTGCCATTGTGGGCTCCCTGCGTACTTATGACACTTTTATGCGTGGTACATGGCGTTGAAGGTACATTTTTGCTATTTACTCTCACACCAGACCCAGTATGACGGTCACTTTGTGCCTGATGTGCGAGTCTTGACTGTGCTAGCGCACACTGCGCCTTGGAGAGCATTCACCATTGTTTGTCCTTTCTTTGGTTGTTGGTCCTTAGACGCGTGTTCCCATACCAAAATCTTTACATACTTTGGGGTTCACCTCATCAGACTGGCACTGTCCTTGGCATGGTTTCGAATGAGACGTTTCTCTCTTTTCTCCCATATTCTCCCGCTACTCTTTCGCATTCATCGCTTGCACGCACTTTTTATGTTTGTGACCATGCTCTTCAAAAATAAATGATAATAAATCCTTTCCAAGTCCACTTTTATCCAAATAAACCATGGTTTTACGGCAACGAAGTATCAGCCCTGAGAACTGATGTAATGTTGTCGATGATGTTTATGCTTCATCCCTCTTTGACCGATCGAATCTTGAAGAACAAAAAACCTACTCCTTCGTTCTCAAATTTGACATGGCCTTATCGCTCACACAGGAAAAATTACGTTCACCAGTTAGTACTGATTTAAGTTTTATAGACGACAGCAGAAGTAACTACCATCATCACACAGCGGTTGTTAAAAAAGATTGTATTTTATTCAAAAACTAGGTCCGTAATGCGGTCTATGTAAATCTGACTACACTTACAATCGGTCCGCTTAGAATTCCTTCAGTCTAAAACATTTTGCACGACTAAAACTGCTATTATTATTTTTCTTTTAGTGACAGACTTTCTGGAAGTCCAGTGACTAACATGTTTCGCGAGATGCACACCGCTGATCATTCCAAATTAAATGAAATTTGCTTTACAGGTGGAGATCCATAAACGAGACGCTGAAATCTCACGGGCAATTAAAAAGATACTAATTAAAAGGAACAAACTTGATAGTGGATGATTCGTGAATTCTATGTGAATAAATTTAGAAGCATATTGTTTCTAAAGGGCCGTTTGGGCGAAAAATTATATTCCCATTTGAAAGCACCGATAACGATCTCCCAGTGGTGCTAAAGGCAATCCTCAAAAGTAGTTTGTAGTCCCATCAGGGGCAGCTTTCTATTTGAATAGGTCGAGACTGAATGTTGCGTAAGTTTAGTTAAACACGAAAATTGTTTTTCATCAGGTGATGAAGTCACCCATAACTAAAAAACAGCGTTTCCATGGTTAAATATGGTGATGCAGCTAATTGGATTGGTGGAGTTTCGATGACGGTGAGAATATGCAAAGTGCCTTTTGTTGCATTTCTAACAAGCCACTATTCTGAAAATTCTGAAATTGCGTTATCTTTTTCAAAGTCGGACGGTCCACTGTACGATTCTCTCAGTCTTTGTTGATTCTATGTATGCCAACATCTCTCCCTTGAATATACCTTGATACCTGTAAGTATGAGTACATTTGAAGTTTTACTAACCACTGTCCAACTCATAGTGACTTAAAAACTTAACTGGAAAAATACATCTCGGAATTTATACTTTGATTTGTGTTTCGTGAGTAAAACAATATACAGCAGCGGTCCATTTTGTCATACTACAGACATGATTGAACCCCCATCAGTTTTTTATCACAGCTGGGAAGAAAGTTAAGTTTTATAATTGCAACGAAAACATTTTACTGTCAACTGGACTTGTACAGTAAGTCATTTGTGACCATGTGATCACTGGAAGAGTAAAATGAGAACACACATCTGGTTATAAAATAAGCAGGATAAATAAAGTGTATATCTCGAAGGCAAGTCCTGATGTGAACTTTTTGAAAAAAATTTATATGGTGGGAGGAGCAGTTGCAATCAGACTAGACACATATAAGTAGTGCTAGAGCTTTACTTGGCGCAGAAATAAGATTCAGAAAAATATTCTCGGGTGACAAATGACATGGAAAGCATGACGGCACAACACAGCCTTGGTATTTAGAAAGTTAGTCCCCTTTTCATGTGCGCAAATACTTGCTCGCTATGTCTCGTTCTTTTACGTAGTCCCCATAGCTTGGGAAGGGATGGGCGCATACTTCCAGATCTCGTGTGGTATTTCCGAAGTTCTTCCCAACATGGAACTTGTACCCTGTCATAATTTAGATGAAACAGCCTGGTTAGATAGTCCCGGAGCGAGTATGCTCAGAGGTGAGAATTATGCCCGATAAAGACGACGGAAATGAAATTGTGCCTAAGTGCAGCATTCCTGAAGTATTAAAAAATGACTTAAAAAGCATTTTCTGAGTTGAACACTGACGGGATTTGATAGACATTTACCACCATAATAAACTATGTGGCAACGACAATCCTGTAATGCATTCACGAACAATTCCTGGGACTAAGAACGGAGATTAATCTACGTACAACCATCTTCCAGGCCCTTGCCTTCCAAAAATACCTTCGGTTGACGAAACCAGTGGCAGACGAGCCGAAACGATATCCACTTCTCTCTAGTGGGACTGTTCGCCACAGTACAGTACAGGCGATACTTTAGATCTGGAAGACCATTAAAGTATTGCCTGTGTACTGGTGAAATGAAGCCGTCTGGTCTCGTAGTTGTCTGCGGAGGCAGTCACAACAACTGATATTGAGTCCTGTTGCAAATCAAAGTATGTCTTGCGTATGTTGATGTGGTTCTTTCATTATATTTGATGGAGATTTAACAGCTGATCGCTGATCCCGAATGGCATATTTCTAAGATATTTCTGAACAGGTGATTTCAGTGGAATTGTCCGTTACTTAATCATGAAGATGATCTGTCAGCGATCATCAAGTGGTTCCATTTCGGTAGTCCTTTATCACATCTCTGCCACCTACATACCAGGAAGAAAATCGCATGAAACATAGAAGGTAATATCGGAAAATTGACGAGCTCTGAGGCACGTGTGAACGGCTCCAAATGACTGGTTGGGTCACAGTGGGCATTTCACCTCTAAGGTGGACAACATTTACAACGCGTAATGAAGACTGGCATAACTCAGAATTCAGCGGTTTAGTTGAGATAACGTCCATCATCGCCTAATTTCTATGGTCGGACAGATTCGAATCGAGCAATCCACACATTCGCTCAGACATGGAAGTTGATTCACAATGATGAGTATGAGTCCACTGCAAGGTTGGGGTCAGCCAGAAGAGACACAAAAACATGTAAATGCCCCTTGATTCCTCCAATTTCATCCAACAAGTTTGCCTGTTATAGACGGCTGCGGTATCATATGATTGACTTGGGATTGACTACAGTTGGAATGAGCTGATGAGTAACTGTCAATGCGGTCAACACCTGTGATTTCCCCTGTTGTAAATCTTAGTTATTTCTGAATTTGTAAACTTGCGGTCCAGGCAAGTGGCGTTCACTTTATTTGGGGAATGTCACCAGCTCCACCATAGAATCACCTCTGAATGACAAGTTACTGGTTAGTTTATTTTTCACTCATAAAAGCTGAATTGTTGCTTTATATCAACTCAATTAGTGGCAGCACACTTTCTGGCCGCATATCTGTAAGTAATATAATGCGAGGATGGACGGCAAGAAATAAAGCTTGAGAGAAACGAAGATGAGCCTCCGACAGTAGAGTTGGTCTTCAAAATGTGTTTGACATTTTGTGGTGAACTAATGAGTGGTATCCGATGGTTGGGCGTACATCTATCACATAAGAATTGAAAGCTACTTAAAAATGCTTTAGAATAGGGGTAGGCCTTTGAACCACTTTTAAAAAGCAAGCAATTTTAAAGCCATTGTATTGGGACCACCAGTGAATTCAGTTGACGAATCGCAACTCTCTTTGCCGAAAGTACACATGTTATCCGCCAAAACAGTCAGCTATCGGAGCATTTTCATTCGCAAAGTTCAGATACGGTCGTCTTCTTCTTTAACCAAGACCTATTCATCTTTTCAAGCCAACTGAAGTATGTCTCCAACTCAATCCCTAAGACAGGATTTTGCCCCTCGGTCTGTTATCCAAGCCATTATTATGCCCTTTGTCATAGTACCACTCATCCCGTTTTTACCACAATTTACCGCAACACCACACTAAAGCACTATAGCGGCCACCTCCACTTTCGTGTTTGATTTTTGGGGCTAGGACGTGGGCTCTTTTTAAGTCCTAGAAACCGTCGGTAGATCCGTTGCTAAACTCATCCCATCGTAAGACGCTCTTGGTAGCCAACTCCTATGTTCTAAGCGCGTAATCAAACCTGCGCTGCCATATACTTTTATATCATATATATGTTGGGTCACAGTGGGCATTTCACCTCTAAGGTGGACAACATTTACAACGCGTAATGAAGACTGGCATAACTCAGAATTCAGCGGTTTAGTTGAGATAACGTCCATCATCGCCTAATTTCTATGGTCGGACAGATTCGAATCGAGCAATCCACACATTCGCTCAGACATGGAAGTTGATTCACAATGATGAGTATGAGTCCACTGCAAGGTTGGGGTCAGCCAGAAGAGACACAAAAACATGTAAATGCCCCTTGATTCCTCCAATTTCATCCAACAAGTTTGCCTGTTATAGACGGCTGCGGTATCATATGATTGACTTGGGATTGACTACAGTTGGAATGAGCTGATGAGTAACTGTCAATGCGGTCAACACCTGTGATTTCCCCTGTTGTAAATCTTAGTTATTTCTGAATTTGTAAACTTGCGGTCCAGGCAAGTGGCGTTCACTTTATTTGGGGAATGTCACCAGCTCCACCATAGAATCACCTCTGAATGACAAGTTACTGGTTAGTTTATTTTTCACTCATAAAAGCTGAATTGTTGCTTTATATCAACTCAATTAGTGGCAGCACACTTTCTGGCCGCATATCTGTAAGTAATATAATGCGAGGATGGACGGCAAGAAATAAAGCTTGAGAGAAACGAAGATGAGCCTCCGACAGTAGAGTTGGTCTTCAAAATGTGTTTGACATTTTGTGGTGAACTAATGAGTGGTATCCGATGGTTGGGCGTACATCTATCACATAAGAATTGAAAGCTACTTAAAAATGCTTTAGAATAGGGGTAGGCCTTTGAACCACTTTTAAAAAGCAAGCAATTTTAAAGCCATTGTATTGGGACCACCAGTGAATTCAGTTGACGAATCGCAACTCTCTTTGCCGAAAGTACACATGTTATCCGCCAAAACAGTCAGCTATCGGAGCATTTTCATTCGCAAAGTTCAGATACGGTCGTCTTCTTCTTTAACCAAGACCTATTCATCTTTTCAAGCCAACTGAAGTATGTCTCCAACTCAATCCCTAAGACAGGATTTTGCCCCTCGGTCTGTTATCCAAGCCATTATTATGCCCTTTGTCATAGTACCACTCATCCCGTTTTTACCACAATTTACCGCAACACCACACTAAAGCACTATAGCGGCCACCTCCACTTTCGTGTTTGATTTTTGGGGCTAGGACGTGGGCTCTTTTTAAGTCCTAGAAACCGTCGGTAGATCCGTTGCTAAACTCATCCCATCGTAAGACGCTCTTGGTAGCCAACTCCTATGTTCTAAGCGCGTAATCAAACCTGCGCTGCCATATACTTTTATATCATATATATGTCATATACTTATCACGATTATATATATATTGAAAAAATATTCATTCATCCATATCGCACATGCCAGTAACTCATCATGCTCATCCACGCAAATCAACCGGTAATATGGAAAATAAATCTGTCTAAAACCTGGTAATGTGAGTGGTTGCTCCGTAAAAACGAGTCGAATCGCTAGGCACATTCACTGACACGCTCCACCGCCTAACAACCGATTGGTGCTTCACCTCGACTGGTGATCAAGCGTTTGCGATCAAACTGTCCAACTCAATGAAACAACTAAAAACCATTTATACTACCCACTTTTCAAATCCAATTTAGGAGGAATTTTTCTCATGTAAAAGTGATGAAATTCGTTGAATTTTCACGTATGTACAAAGAAAACACAGTATGCAAGAATCCTTAACTGCAGCGGATTCCCACATCGATTATAGCAGATATAAAAATGGACGGAAGTTTGCTTCTTATTGACGTGGTAACAAGTTGTAAAAACTGTGTTTGAATTCAATGATCTCGTTGTGTATAGTCTTCTTTCGGCTGCCGAATTGCATGCTTCATCTATCTGTTTCTAGTTCCCATATGTCTCCGTGAAATCCCGCAAACCGACCCCTTAGCCCAACCAGTTACCTTGTTGATACTGGTCTGCCTTCCACTTTTATTATAAGACTAAGTGGCTAACCTCCGTTTTATCTGCATTTCGGTTTTTGTATTCTCCCCCGTTTGTTAGTGAAGTCGCATTCCCTCATTATTATTCGATTTGTTATACTTAGCGCCACGAAAAACTCCATTCATAATTTATTTTCGATGTTTACGTCGACCTGGTGATAGCGATCATCTGAAGTGAGCTTTAATTCGAGGCTTATAGCACGGGCGGAATCTATGTTTCTCACCATGAATATGTCCTTTGTATTCTGGTATCATTCCCTCCTGTCGGAAGATTCTTGATGAGTTGAATAGTTCATTCGGTTGCCGTACAAATGTATCTTTGACAACTGGCTCTCTGAAAGGGAGGAATATACAGTGCAATACCGAACAAACTGACTCAATGAATTCATGTGAATGTTATTCAATCCGGATCGTAACATTTTGTAGAAGCTCTCGAGTTGTGCATGTGGAAATGTTGAGACCATACAAGGAAACGGCTTAGATAAGGATTGATTTGGATTTTTTCATTTTACTTGGCCTCATCGAGCTCAGTCCACCAAATGCAAGTAACATCTAAATACGAGGTTATGTAATGCTTGCAATCCGTGGTCTAGTGGCCTTGAGAAATGACTACTTCATTGGATATCTTGCGTTTGAACCGGACAGACTGAACAATTATGTTACCACCGTTCACCGCAATTCAGCGGATTAATCACATTTACGCATCGATCTTGTTGTAAAAATTGTCGTTCAGCTGCGGCACCCTTTCGGTACACAACTGCCATGCCACTCGAAGAAGGCACGGGAGCTGTAGGATGTACCAAACTGTCGCTCTAAAGCAATCCGCAACACAGCACTCGCAACAGGGGAACCGATGGTGTCTATGCTATGTAAACTTTCTCTCTATTGGCAGAAACGGTGGAAAGGCACTAAACCTGTCCCATTCTGTAGTCATCCCTGAAGTGGAATTTCTAGCGCATTTATCGATGGGTCCGCAGTGTTAAACTATGGTGGTAATTTGAAAGTACCATTTAACAAACCTCTATAACCTGACGTTTCATGCAGCAATGTAAATGTCTGGTAGCATTGACAGAAACCGTGCGGGTGACTACTAACCACATACCTAAACTAAAATCCACCGATTGTCACCAAACTTCTCCGAAAATGAATTAAATCTGCCTATCACTCCCCACTGTCAGTCTTATTTTTCATATGTGATCACTTTAGTTGGTGTATCGTGTCCTGGTTACTTAACCTTCTCCAAATTCACACGCGTATCACTTTCGGACAAAACGCTCAACATCGCCCCAATTTTTATGAGCACTGTCCTGATTGCAAACCCATACTTAAGGTTAGTTGACTAAAAATTGGGAAAAACGTGTTTATAACCGGACGACATAGAGGAAAAACAACCTAGCCACACTTGTTTTCACGCGTCTAATCGAGCCAAATGGCATACGCCTTCTGTTGGTTTTCTCTCAACCGTACGAGAACTCACGTATTCACAGTTGTCGTTGGTTCTGCAAGTCGATCCCAATGTGCCTGATTTTCGGTGCGGAATGTTTCCAAACCGCTTTTTGCAGCCTCATGGAAGCGTTTTGCGAGTCCAGCCTCCGTAGTGTCCATACATGGGACAAATCCCATGTAGCCAGGAATAGGTGGATCAGTTGGGCCCCGAACAGCTGAAGCAGTGGTGTTTTTCTTTGACAAGTCATCCGCCCACAAGTTCAAATGGTTACGAACTCTGGGATCAAGTGCAATAGGTCGCAAAGCCGGAAAGATTCCCGCTACTTCCCGCAGTTCTTCCCTCTTCTTTTCCTCACATTTGTACTTTCGTACAAATTCATCTACACATTCATCCGCTGTCTGCCGATAAGTAGCACCGAATTTGAATGGCATGTGGGGTACGTCACCTAAAAAACGGTAATAATCAGTGCGAAAATCCAGGCACACCCGAATATCCAGGAATCATGCCGGCAATATATTTATTGTCACCAGTCGGTTGAGGCAACATCTTGCCCGGTACTTCATCCCTGAATGCCGACCGTGCAGTAGCATCCTTGTAGTCTCCAACAACAGGGTAGAGGTGATGTGGTTTCTGTTGTTTTAATTGTTAACGTCTATCAGATCATAGGCTTACCTGAATCTGCGGTCCATTGTAATACGGCAGCTCTTGTGCGATGTCGGCTGTTTCTCTTCCGTACGTGTGACCGGATCGGTATTTCAGCTGGGGACAAAATCCCATATACCTATAATCCAGAAAAGTGATTCGTGACCATGTGGAGCAAAATCCCCCCAGAAACTGAAATTTCGGACAGTGAAAACAATGTGACATCGAGGGTGAAGTTATGCAGGCCCATGGATTTAACACACTTTAAAACTGGTGCCTAATCTTCGTTAGTCGAATTGTATACGTGGTTTCCGCGCTTCTACTCCAAAGACATTTTCTCTTAAAATGATATATAAATATTGATAAGAAATAATGTCATAGTTGTAACCGATATACGCTGAGAAAAACGACCCATTTCAAACCCAGAAATGCTAGGATTAAACATCGTCTATCTGACTTTTTCCTTGCGTTCCCATCTCCCGTATATTTGGTCGTTTATCCCAGGAATTAGGTATCCTCGTGTGTATATCTGTTGTTCTGAAATTTCAACTTTCACCGTCACTAACATAATCGAGACTTTTTGTTATAGTACTCATTCCAACACTGAAAAATTTGTAAATGGACTTTCCTTATGTCCTTTGGTTTGAAATGAATATGCCGCCCATTCTGATGTAGCCAAGATCGAAGTGGATTTCATACAACGATTTTGCCGATGTCGAAAAATTGGTACTTCTGTTTTGTTTTCCGATCGTCAGTCAGCCGGTTGCTGATCTGCTCACAGAACTTGGAGATATCCTTGCGAACATTTGATCATCGGCCGAGAAAACATTATCAGTCCAGGGCTTGGTGTTTTGTCCGCCATTGGACATCTTAGGTATCACCTGACAAATAATCAGACAATGACTATAAAATTTTCATTGGAAAGTCTTTGAAAATTGACTTGTTTGTCTCCATTTTCTTCAAAGTTTTATTGTGCTGACGGTAGTTAGGTTTCACTATCCATATACTTGTGCAGTACATTTGAGCAGTATTATAAAGCGAGGTACTGAGACGTGACCGTTCTAAGGGCTGGACTATTGTAAATGAAGCCATCATGTACGAAACTATTTTGCGTGTATTCATTTAATTGTGTGGAAATCCTTATTTTGATTTACCGTCAACTGGGCCACTTTGAACAAAAATAGAATGTGCACTACCAGTGGATAATTCTGATGAATTTCTATGGGGCCTTTTAGAAAGTAGCGTGCTGAGGTATAGTCCTCGATAATTAAGGACCTGACAGCGCTTCCAGTAACGGAGATTGGCGATTGAGTCCATTGAATCGAATGGCAGGCAAGAGTACGGGGTACTAACGAGGAATTCCGCGATCTAGCCTCACACTGTCAATCCAGTGGCATCTTTCTAGGCTGGCCTGTCCTAACAGTAATTCAGGCATTTTACTCCACACGAGTTGGTACTAACAATGTATAGAAAGTGTCCAGCTAAGCTGACTACTTCCATTAAACTGACAGACGTTGCCGGATGGTTAGTAAGCAAATGGAGGTGAAGGACAACATCCCATGCACAACAGATAGATCATGCAAAAACAATGTGGTTGTATCACATACTTCAAGTGCGAATGACAGTTTTCGTAAAAGACTCTACGGCAAAAGAAAGAAGGCATGGAACTAACTCAAACACAAAACTTTAACTTAGGTACTAAAATCACGCCAAAAGTTTGTCACAGTCCAGTGTGGGAAATAACTGTGGTTGATTTGGTGAGTAACACCATCTTCCCGTGTCATCATCAAAATATCATACTCAAACTTCATGGTCAGCTTACAAAACCTCCACCTGTCAACTCGTTCTCAGTTTTGTCTACAAAATTATCAATTCGTGCCGTCATCTGTGTGTTCCTTAGTGTTCTTCACAGTGATGTTGCTTTTTAGGGTGAATCATTGGATATTGTTCCTCTGTTTAGAGTTTCATAGTTAAATGAACTTGGGTTCTAATATAGACAAGGACAAGAAACACTACCTAACTTTGAATCAAATAATACTGCAGTGATAACGGAATACAAAACACAGATGTATCAAAAGTACGCAAAAACAAAAGAATAAATATTAAATGACGGCGTGAAAAGCAAACGAAGTGAGCAGATCTTAAAATAATTACCCCAATACATGAACAACCTATACTGACAAGAATCAGGGGCCTTCGGACGGCTTTTGCTTTCGGATTAATGATTTTATTGTGTGGAAAAAGTTAACCGGATATGTAGAATAAAATGCTTGGGAAAAAGCTAGGCGAGCTATTGACAGTTTCTCGCGTTAACAGCTTTGCAATAACACCCATGAGCTGGCCCAAAATTTGCCTAACTAATTTTTAAGGTGTTTGGCCGTCGTCATTCAATCAACACGGCTCAATAAAATGTTTTTGCTAAGCTCAAGACTTCATGTTTATGTAAACCGCCTAAAGGTAAATGGGCTCAAGGTGTCTCTCACGAGCACCCACTATATTCTGTGAAGAGATAAAAGGCCCAAACGATATTCTAAAGCATCAAGAACGTCAAAATGTAATTTTCTCAAAAATGAATTCGATAAGTTATCAAGTATTTTGGAAAATCTGGAAAGTTGGTAACCAAACGACTAACTGTATCCTGTGTTATCCAGGGGCTGGCGATAGGCCTTGTATCCTACATAGTCACACGAATGATAGAACTGCCCATCAGCTCCCGATTTAAGTGCGAAAACCCAAATGCACGGAGTGTGCTGAGGGTGAAGGTTGATGTCATGTTTGCCTTATATTATTCGGCAACGATTGAAAATTTATGTAGAAGGAGTCGCTCTGCACCCATATTTTTTCAATAGCCGGCAGCAATTGTGTCCTTGGTGCCTTTTTAAGTTGTCTGGTCGGGTTCTTTCAGATGTAACACCTCAAAATATTTAAGTAGTTCAGCACCAGGTCCCTCCCCTTGAAACTTTAACGATAACCAAAACGATAACCAAATGAAATTTGCCGCTGCACCGCAAAAAGTCATCAGTGTTAATCTTTAATAATAATAATAATAATAATAATAATAATAATAATAATAATAATAATAATAATAATAATAATAATAATAATAATAATAATAATAATAATAATAATAATAATAATAATAATAATAATAATAATAATAATAATAATAATAATAATAATAATAATAATAATAATAATAATAATAATAATAATAATAATAATAATAATAATAATAATAATAACAGTGGAAATGTTGATATTTTGTTTGAGCTGATTTTCGGACGAGCATGTTGCAACCATCAAAACTGATGGGAAAGACTGTCACCAGTTCAACCGTTTAATTTTAATTTACTTTTGTAAGACATGGGGTACCTGTTACTTATTCTGTTGCTACAAAACTTGAGACAAACGTTCTTTACTGAATAGAAAAACAAGTCGCAGAGAAAACTGCTGGAAGTGATTTAGCTCATTCTGCTTGATGCATCCCAGATCACCATATTGTACGCTGTAATAAGTCTAAAACAATACCTAATGGCTGTAAAAAAATAGGGGCAGGTTTAATGAAAATCATTTGCACGAGTGTGCAAATACAACACTGCGTCATCTTTAATCGAAAAAAA